AACGCCACTGATTTTTACTTACTAGAGAACTTGGAAGTGATTACAATAAGCTGCTCCACCCTATCACCAACTGTCGAAGCCACACTACCGATGTCAGGCGTCAAATTTCTTTTTGTAAAGTTAGGCAAAGACCGCAGCCGACATGCTCTTACAATGATAAGCTCTCCAAAAGCAGGTGATGAGTTGATCAAGACAGGCGTGATATAAATAATCTTATTGTACAAGAGGAAAATTATCACACACAAAAGGAATTACTCGTAGTTCCATCATAAGACAAGATTCTGTCTTTACAATCACTGAATGCCAAAACAAAGATAATACTGAACCGGTTCTGAAAGCAAAAAATTGCAAGTGAAAATAGAAGATTAGCAGACTCAGGCAATAGCTATCACATGCTCTTATCGAAAGCAAACCACCCCTCAAGAACTCGATTTCCTTTGCGATCTACAGGCTGATTTTTCAGTTTTTGCAGAGGAATGTAAAGTGTGTACATTTTGTTATTATCCATCAGTCCACCACAATTCCATACGGAAATTTCCAGCACACGAGTGGATAGCATATGTTCTCCATCCATTATATCGTAATAGAGCTACAATAGGAACTTGTATATCCTACATTCTCAAAATAACAAACAGACCTCTTTATTGAAAGTCGGATTCTGACTAGCTTTGACTATTTGCGTTTTTCGTTTCGTCAGATTTTGTGGATCCGGACGAATATAAGCCTTCATGTATGAATCTGGAGCTTGACCAGTACTTAATAGCGCCAGATGCTTCACATGACCTGCAAAAGAAAGTAAAAAAATCCATGAAGCCTAAAATATGCCCTCCTTACCTACAAATATACTCAGCTGCGAGTGTGACTTACTGTCGTTGAACTGTATTCTTAGATACACCTCACACTGATTCCGATGTATGTCGGGGTGCACATCTTCGTTATCTGAAAAAACTTGGCCTAGGGGGAATGACGATTTTCATTATGATACATATTATTTTTCATAAATCACGAACCTACATACGAATCAATGTCGCTATCTCGAAGTATGAGATGAAAGAAGGTGTACACCAAATCACACTGA